CGAAGAATTCTATTTATATTAGGTACTTTTGCACACAAATTGGTTCGAATGAGTTTCTCAGAATTATTTGTTACAAAGTAAAATTATGATACGATGAACTTGAAGTAGTTTTGAAAATTTGGTCCTTTTGACGTTGTTGTATCAAAGGATCAAATTCTTAGTAAGCATTAACTGAAAATGGCGTAATCTCCGTTCTACTAAGTTTTGACTTTATATATTATCAAATACTGTCGTCTAGTCATCTGGGTTAAGCATAGGGTACTACCACATTTATTTCTTTTGAACGGTCTAGATAAAGCCTTATTTTTCTTTTATACTCCAACTATTTGGTCTATTAATAAAGAAATCTAAAACCTAACAATAATATTAAACTGTGAAATAAAATATGTTTGTAATAATTCTTTTATAAACTAGAAACTAGGTTTAAAAAAACGACTTTAATCTCCTCTTTTGTTGAAGTCTGGTAAATAATGACCTAAAACGTTCTCCTAAAAACTGAATCAAATTTGGTTCATTTGGTTCGGCCCATCGCGAGATTATCGCGCACATACATATAGGTCAAACAGGAAACCTTCCTTTTTTTTGAAGTCGGTTAAAAATACCAAATAATGTTTTCAAAGGTGAAAATGAAGAACATATTTACATTTATTGAACAGAAATCGGTACAAGCACAACTTTTTTGTTGTAAACGTTGGTCGTCTGTCGCAAAAAACTGAATTTATTTTTAGGTCACATCTGAATTTTCTATGTGTAGTAGACAGTGCCCTATATCTCGATCTGGTGTAGCTTTTATTTCATGAATTTATGTGTTTTGTTTACTTGTATGTATCTATGTAGATCATTGGATACATTTATTGTATTTTATATTTAAAATATATTATTTAGACCCCCTATTCACTTCCTATTACATGGGACTCATAACATAAATAGTGAAAAGTTCGTGTTACATTGCACAGTGGCATTAAGTGCCGTAATGATAATAGACGTGATGTTATGTAATATATTATTTAGAGGGCACTTCTTCAAATGATACCAGATCTGACTAGCATTGCGAAAGGTAATCGTAATCTCCTATTCATTTTGCCGGATTTTAAGGTCTGATCATTTCTTTCTATCTATTATAACCGTATTAAAAATGAGTCTATGATCACAGAATTATCAACCAATCACTCGTCAGTTGTCAATCACACAGTTAGTTTGTATAGTTGCGTACAATTCAATACAAAAATTCACACATCACATTTTTAAAGTCCCACGTACCAAACCGTAATAATAAATCCAGTACAAACCAAATTACGGCTGACTTCTAAAATACGCTCCACGTTTTGTAAATAATTATCAAGCATTACGCTTTGTAATTATCCTACGAGAGATGTTGCATCACGAATGCTAACGAAGCAATACATAGAAAGTGTTTCGTGATACATCGTCATGGTTCGTACACATGTCGTTAAAACCCGTTGGCGTTGCAGAAATCTTTTCTTTTAAGATGAATGTCTCTTTGTTGTATGATGCAGGTTAATTATTATTATAGTTAATTTGTGTCTCGACTGCCTCGTTGGCCAAGTGGTCGCAATTGCGACTGCCGGGCAAGGGGTTTCGGGTTCGATTCCCGGGTCGGGCAGAGTATTAATGGGCTTTTTCAAAAAATCTCAGTAGTAGCACGGAGCCAGGTATATGACAATAGGCTCACCCCCTATTACATGAGGCTCATAACATAAATATTGAAAAGTGGGTGTTATATTGTACAGTGGCTTTGTGCCCTAATGTACATCTCTGCCTACCCCTTCGGGAATAAAAGGCTTGATGTTATGTTATGTTAATTTGTGTAATCTTTTTAGTAGATTAGTTTGAAATATGCGGATTAGTCATGTATACCATTGGAGAAATGCCCTGTTAGTTCACGTCACACTAAGATTTATGTATGTACAGAGTGCATGATATGCAGTAAATTTATTCATATTAGTGTTTCACCATCATCATCATCATCATTACCAGCCTATAAATGCCCACTACTGAGCAAAACCTCTTCTCACATGGAGAAGGTTTGAGCATTTATCACTACGCTTGGTCAATGCGGGTTGGCGATTACAAACTTATAATTAGAAATTATAAACCCAGGTTTCCTCACGATGTTTTTTTGTCAGTAATGTCTGGATAATTTTAGAAAGTACATATAACTCGGAAAATGACATTGGTACTTGTCGTTGGTAGGTTTCAAACTCGTACCCTCAAGCATGAAAAGCGGGCGTCTTTAACCGGGCATATTGGTGTTTAGATGATAATAAATATCATCTATTACCTATTTAACGTGATGTTCTAGACTTCTCTATGTTCTGATTCAATTTAATTTTTGGCGTAAAACAACACATAGTCTCACACCCAGCTTAGTTAGGATTTCTTAGAACACCTATCACATCCGTTTGGTTGTACTGAGAAGTCTTAACATAGGGAACTTCAATACTATGCATACTATACATTGCTTGCGTGTAACAAAGTTTGTTGATTTCTTAAATCAACGTTGAAAGCAGAACATGATGGCACGCAATTAAAATATCATTGTCAATAAAATAGCGATTGTATTCGTGACTGTGTAGTGTGTGGTATGTGGTATGATACAATAACCTACTTGACTAGTTACTGGTAGAGAGTACATTTGGCATGCAAGTGTGTAATCAAGACATGACAGGATTCGGAGGCTACTCAATCAGTATGAATTGGGAGTTTCTTGAGTGTGACTTCTATTTAAAGCACTTGATAAAAAATGCCATGATGTTAAGTTAACAATTAGGTTATTTGCAATAAGCTTTGACAATAGATAGATAGATAGACTTATTGCGTAAAAACGCACACGTTATTATTTCTTCTTACTAGAATAGTTAATTGAAATATTTCAACTCAGAGATTCAGTAAGTCTAAACAATGCGTTAAAACCTAGTCCAAAAATATTTGTTGTCAAAAACCAGAAACACATTAATGCTTATTCATAAAAGCCTAAAACAGGGTGGCACTTATTTGTATTGAAAACTACATTTTAAATTAAATTTCAAAATTCTTATCACTGTGGAATTTACACTCGATTTTTATCTTTCAAGCTCCATATAATCTACAAAAAGTAAAAGTCAAGCAAATAAACCTCAACTCGTTTGAACATCCTTATGTTTAATATAACTTAGTCCTTTTAAATGAAAACAACAGACGCAGAAACATTTTATTTGCGCAATTGCACGTAAAACGCTTCATCTAGACAAGCTCTATGACACTTGTCGCTAATTGCAGCCAGCCGTTGGCCTACAAACCTTTAGCAACCTATTTTTTCTGTTGACATTAAGGAGAGAAGAAACAGTAAACATAATATTAAATAAAATATGCTTTTTAAATATTCTATCTGCTGTAAGGCTGAGAAAAATGTGGGAAAACTTGATGACGTTTTTCGTTTTCAGATTTTAGAAATTTAAAGATGCTAAGTAATCTAAAATAAAAAAAAAAACTTTTTTTTATTGCATAAGCCGATGAACGAGCAGACGGATCACCTGATGGTAAGCGATCGGCGCCCCCCATAGACACCTGAAACACCAAGGCGTTACAAGTGCGTTACCGGCCTTTTGGGAATTCGAAGATTGTGGAGCATTCTGGGGTTGGGGAGACTGGGGAGGGGGATACGAGTGCTTTTCAAATTAAGACCTTGTTTAAGAGAGATTGAGAAATTACCATCTTCATAGCATAATATTCATAATTATGGTATGATAGTTATATACCCAAACTCGTACCAAAAAAAAAAAATTGAAAGTTGACTAATGCCCGAATACTGAAAGGGTATGAATATGCAAATTTTCCTATTTGTTTTATATGAGGTCTTAAATTGAAAAACATTCGTATCAGTAAATTGAAAAGCTAATACAATGGGTTCATATGAAAATCTGATTTCATTCAACTTACCAAAGAATATACCAAAAATACTTTACATACTTTAAGCCTATTAAGACTAGATTCCGATTTGCACAATCGTGCTCTTGACGATCTTATATCTCAACGAGCAATCTCTGAATATCATTTGGGACTGCGATTTCAACTTAAGGGGATTGTATCAGGAGATCTAAACTTTGTTCAAAAGTTTTCTTTTAAAAAAGGCATGGAACACTTGAAATAAAAGGAATAAGGCTGGTTTGGGAATAGAAATTAAACATTTTAGTTTTGAACACAGGTAAATAATATCAGGAACATATTTGACTGAATTATACAATTATATCGACCTTGATACAAAAGGCCCTTCTAGTAACATTCATTTTATTGCAAAAATACCATTGATATTCACTTAACGAGACATGCTTAAGAATGAGCCCATTAAGAAATGACATCGTTAAATAATGCCCCCACTGAGGCAGAAGTAATTAATAAATACGAAATAGAGCAATAAAAGTTTCAAAGAACGAGCCATAAGCCCATTTGATACATTAACGCGCAGTTTACCCGAACATTACTTATAAAGATCATAACATTTTTCTTTTACAACGCAGATGTGAGTGGAGCGTCTTATAAGTGATCCGAAAGCCAAAACTTTTGAAACGATAACAACTTCCCGATATCCTGGCCTCCTTCCCAACTTTGGGAATTACGATTATGGTACGGCTATGTTACTCAAACTGTAATTACAGAGATAACTCCAACTCTGCTTAGCTTATACAGTCCCGTTTATTTTATTTGGATTAGACAGACTTTTACTATGAATATTTAGTTATTTTACCGGTTGATTTTAGAGATTTAAAGAGTATGATTTATCTGTATTTGTAATGGTCATATGCGATTTGTTATGAATGTTGTCTGTATTATATGATTTCTTATTGTCGTTTCTTATAGCGGAATATGTACAGTTTTACTTGAATTTTACCGATATTTGATCTCTTAAATGTTTCTCTCAATTTTTATCCTGAACCTTGACCCTTTTACTAACGACTTTTAACGATATTCGATAACATTTTGTTTTCTTTTTGTTACAGAAAATGAAGCTCTTTTGGTGCTGCTTTTGTGCAGTTTTAGTAACTGTTTCTGGAGCTGCGTTGGACGTAGAAAAAACTGTGAAACAAGTCCAAAATATATTACAATCAAATCAATTGTTACCAAGATTGACTAGAAATGAAATAATACAACTGCTTAATGATATCAGAGCTGAAGATGCCAAATCAACATCAACTTCAACTTCAACGTCGACAGAATCAAAGGAAAATAAAAAAGAAACAGTGACAACGCCTTACAGTACAATCGAAAACGAAATAAATCCTCAAGAGCCGAAATTAAATCCAAATGTTGCTGATAGCAATAAAAATAAGAAGGTTTCATCACCACCTACGACAGTTGAAACGACCACGAAAAACGCTGAACCCACATTGATGGTGGTTCTACCCTACACACCACGTGATGGATCTTCATTACAAGAATTATATACAAGACCACCACGAACTGAAGTAGTTGCATTGCCAAGTACTACCCCAAGACCAAAAATATCAAAAACCAAACAAAACACTGCAAAGCCAAATAATTACCTACCCGAAAAACTGATTGATAACTTTCCTGAAGAACTGCAAGCCTTTTTGGATGCTCACGGCCTAGAAGGAAAACCAGGTCAAGATCATTTTCTACTACCTCTTGAAGGTTTCAAACCTCTACCACCCCCTAAAGTTGTAGATGGTACAGTACAATTACCCGAAAATATTCTACTTACTTATGATTTGATAGCACCCAGCAGTGATTCAAAAACTAAGAACGATGGGGCTTATTCTTTATCACCAAACAATTTCTTGTATGAACCACTACGTCCGGAATTACCATATGAATTAGATACATCATCTTCTGAAACAAAACAAATCAGCCTTCCGTATGACATGCCAGTAAGAAAAACTAAATCAGTTCCTGTACCAAATTACGAACCCATTGACTACGAATCAGTGAAAGTGATACCATTAAATAAGGGTATTAATCCAATTAATGAACAAGTGAACACAAATAATGAGCAAAGTAAAAGACAGGCAGAAGAAGCAAGTACAACAACGACTGAGAAAGTGGAAACTTCTTCAGCAGAAACTACTACAACCACCACTACTGAAGAACCTAAAACAAATGCTGTAAGTGATTCGTCAGTATCTGCAGATGACTCAGGAGCTTCGATAGCTGATCTGGAAGATTCATTCGGAGGAGCAGCACCTTCAGTTCCCGGAGATTCAGAACTCCCACCTCCAAGGAAAAATGGCTTCTACTGGATGCTTGACTGGAACAGTTTCTTAGAAGTAGGCGATGGTGACACAAAAGTAAACATTCGTTTCGAACCAAAATTAGGTGATCCTCAAATGTTTTTGCCAGTCACTGTCCCGTGAGTAATTTTAGGTGGATTGTAATATATTTATGAGTTCTAGTCTTTTGGTTAGTGTTAAAAAGGCCAAGTGTTTTTGTAATTTGATGGTGGGTTGGGACGCTCAGTATTTTTTGTAACACCTAATTACTGTTACCTAGAATGGTTTGATTGATGATAGGTAATTAGAAATATTGGGTGCATTACAAATGAAATTAACAGATCGTGAAAATTAGTTAATTAATAACAAATTGTTTTGTGATGATGTAACGACATTCCATTATGTGACCTGTTATCGATTATCCAATTAAGTCATGCAAAAACATCAATATGAATTCTGAACCGAACGTGAGTGTTCACGCGAGAACAATTTACAATACTTGTTTCAAACTCATCTTTGGTATGTTTCACGGTATAATGGATTGAAGGAATGTCGACTATCAACAGGAATCTTCAGATGAAATATGAAAGCGGACTTAATTATTTATGTAGAGGTATAAGTGGGGGCTTAGTTTAATATTACTATGTAAGAAGCCATTTTGTAGATATTGTAATTAAAATTTTATTTAAATGAATATTTGTGTACTTTATTTGGACAAAAATAACATAAACTACGCAATGAATGGATGAAATTAGAGATGTTCTTTGTGATATATCAGTAGAGACAATACTGGTTGTGATCTTTCTGAAAATCATTAGAAAGGAATTTGTTTTGTGGCGGTAAAATTATCCAATGACTTCTCCCGCTTTGGGTGAGAGAGGATGTTAGACGTTAGACTCTTACAGAGTAAAAACCTTCTTGTCATGATACACGAAAATGCACAGTACGCTGGTCAAGTATCCTTTCAGTACACATTACATATACTTTATCTGCTATTATTACCTGCACGTTTTCCACCGTTCCTCGAATTTATATCTCTATTTATGACTACCTAGTGCCTAACAGTAATGTACAGTAATGAAAACGGAATACGTGATCAAAATCCAAATGAGTATAACAACCAAAAAGGGACAAATAGGTAATTAAGAATAATGTAATTTAGGTTCCCTCGTTCTATGTCTCTCGTTGTTTTTAAATGTTTTTACTGAATACGGTGCCCTAGTTTGATTACTAGATTGCAATAGAATTTAGTGCTTGAATTCCCAAAAGATATTTTTTTTTGCTAGAAGATAAAATAAGGTTTTAATCATTATGTAAATTGAGTCTTATACAAGACACAAAATTCATGACACCACACTATTGTTGAAAATCAAAAACAGTAATTCCAATGTGGGGGAAGGAACCAAATATTAAACTTCACAACACCCGACCAACAAAAATGTCACCAAGGAAGTAAACAGTAACTACTAATCAACGACACAGTTAACCTTAGATACGAATCTGCCATTAAACGTCAAAGTATTTGTAAAACAAGATTACTACGGACAATGATCTAGTGTAATTCCCCACTAACAGTTACAATTGCTTCTGAGTATTTAAGCTTAGAATCGTATAATCATTATTATGGAGCTGAGAACGACCTCCAGAATTAAGCAATTTGTTTAGGACCTCAATTAGCTTTTATTTTTACAAGGATATCTTTATTGTCTTAAGCTTATCAGGTGTGTTCTTCACTAACTTTTTATTTATCTACATATTTTGTTTACTATCCATAAGTTTCCTTTTTAGTTGACACAGTGAAACTACCACAAAGTCTGGACCGAATCAGGCAAAGAGCGATTTCATTTTTCGATTTCTAAATTGCGAGTATTACTAAAAAGCTTGGAATTCAGCCAAGTCTTTGCCAAAAGGCTTACCCATACAAGAGTCTTTTTGTGTATTTAGTATTCATGCCTTAGTTTTAGAAAAACTGTCTGTACAATTTATCTTTTATTTACCCTACAATACTGCGTGGATATTGGAAGCGAAATAAATATTTTCAATAAATAAAACTGACAGCCGTCACCAAACATCGTTAGGACCAGAGTGAAGGCCGAACATAGCAGAAAATGACTGCCGTATTTAGATGACGGCCTAAAAACGGACTCCGGACTAAAAACGGACACCAGTGACGTTGCATGACGTGTTTTTAATTTCCTGGCGTTTGGTTTACATTTGTATTAAAAGTATTTTTAGAATTTTCAACATTTAACTATATTTGGAACTCGAGTTGAGTTAAAAAGATCTGTCTAGTATTACCATAAATTAAAAGAGTTTAGTCTGGTTCAAATGTCGCATCTTTCAATACGATTAATTAAAAATGCAACAAATACTTTGTCTTGTTGTGGCGTAGAACGAGTATATTTAGAAGGACGCAACAACAACGTTAGATAGATTTATTTATCCACCAAATACATTCGGGGAACTAAAACAGTCGGAGAGAATTATCGGGGAGCCGCGTAAGCTCTTACTTGTTCGAATAAATCTCGTCAAATGCATCTATTTTGCGTATAGACAGACGAATGAAAGGCTTTATCAACGTCCGGGAATCAATTTACTACCTGAATTCATGGCTACATGTCCACATAATTGTATATCTGATGCACATCATAGGAACGATGAGGACAATAGCAAAGGCATTACAGGTAGAATTACAGGTGCATCTATTGTTGTTGTTAAAGAGTACATCTGTTATTAGATTGTGTAGACGATATTTATAGTTATATCTACAATAAACTGGGTTTATATACTAAATTCTATGTAACCTTAGCGTTTCAAATTGCTTATGTCATAACGTCAATTCTCATTTTATAAAATAACAAAAATAAATTAATTTCAACGACAACATTACAGTTCCCAAAGCAGTATATTTTAATACGGCAATCATTAACAAGATTAGCATTAGGGCTTCCATCCCGGGAGTCTCGGTCTCGAAAATCCCGAGAGTCTCGACGATTTTTTCATGTTTTCGAGACTCGAGACCTCAGCTCCAATTTTCGAGAATTTCGAGACTTTCGAGAGTTAGTTAAATAATCTACAAAAAATACCAATCTACTAAAAAAATCTACTAAACTACCATTATTATTTTAATTAAGTGACGTGGCAACACTGTAAAGTGAAAGTTAGGATAATCTGTGGAGCTTGCAACTTAACCTCAAACAACATACGTTCACATCACAATAAAACGCTTATTGTATCTTTATAAAAAGTGTGAATTATATAGCTTGGCAACAATGTGTTCCTTAGCAGAGAAATTGAAAGGTATGTGTCTTATTCATGTTAAAAGTATAAGTAAGTAGTAAACAAAATCATTTTAGTTTAACTATTTTCGTCATATTTTGTAAATGTTTTGGTTTGTTGTGTTAGCTTGATGGCGCTATGCAACGAATTGAATGAATTGCTATAATATACCTATAATAGAAACACAAACTAGCACCCATGACTTGCAAACGACTTTGCATGTAGAAAAGCTCTCTTGAGAACGGTGGTGACAGAGGTAAGCATTTAAAATCAGTGCTATAATTATTTACTATCCATCCCCTTACTAGTGTCGAAGCAGAGAGAGCTTTTTCAAATGCAGGGTACTTTTGTAACAAAATCAGATCCTCTTTATCTGAAAGTCATTGAATGCCCTTTGCTTTCTGCGTGCATATTTTAAAAATGAAAAATGTTAATTTTATATAATACATTGTTTTTTTTTTGAATAGTTGATTAATAAAGTGCATAATTGAAACATATTGTTTTATTTGCCTAATTGTATAAACCTTGAGTATGAAACTTATTTAGTCTCGAAAGTCTCGTTTTTCCCGGGACTCCCGGGACCGGACCCAGTCTCGATTTTTTTTTCCCGGGACTCGAAAATGTATCGAGACTGGAAGCCTTAATTAGCATACTACATTAATTTACAAGCGGATAATTTTCAGCATAAATTTTATCATTAGACCCATTTTGTGCATACTAAAGCCAGTCATTTGATCTCTAAAGTTTCCACGATCCACGTCGTCAGCCAAACAAAATTATGAACACTTGGCATAATTCGCAGCTGTTCCCACGAACTCGCTTACATGTTATTTCAAAGTGTATTTCACGCCCCCAAGTACGTACTTATGTCCTAGGACGATAGTGCTACTGATGGAACTCACTTTTAGATATTTTAAGAGGTCCTCTTGCAAATTAGATGTTAATTTAGTTTGTGAGTGAAGTACCTTATAAAGTTTATTAGCAGTCTTTCGAGATCATCGTGTAAAAAGTACAGAGGTAGAAATGTCGATAAAACAAATATATTCCATACATAAGCTGAACCTGGTCGAATACTTAACCTTCTTTTTTATTATTTTTATCTCTTGTAGTCATACTTACTTTACATAGCTCACAAGTCAAAATCTACAGTGTTCACTAACGACGCTCCTGACTGGAATTATATAACATTTCCTAAATATCTTGGAACTGCACCAAAATTTAACTGAATATGATACTTGAGATTAGTCAAAACTGTGAGAGGCACGTTTCAAGATACCGAGCGCAATGCAATCCTCGATATTGTGGTTGTCAAACAGTTCAAGTGCATTTGCCTGATATACCACAATACTGAATCGTACATCCACTATCCCTAAACGCTAGCAGTTTTTTGTACGCGTTTTTACTCCAGTTTGGTATTTGTTGAACAAAATTTTACACAGGAATCCATAAATTATTTGGATTTAGTTTGGCTTTCTGGATCAGGCAGACGTACTATTGGTTTACTGCCAACTAATTTTTAGTAAAACAGTAGTTTTAGCAATTGTAAAATTAGATTTTTAGGTTATTTTGGGAGTTCTGCGACAGTCACAGCATACAGGTAAACGTTCTTTTTATAGGATCAGGAAAACAACTCTCTTGAAACAGATACAAAGTTAGTTTTTGGCAATATCCTTGTATTACAAAAAGTACATAATATAACATCACGTCGTTTATCCCCGAAGGGGTAGGCAGAGGTGGACATTATGCCACTGTACAATCATACAATGTAACACCCACTTTTCACTATTTATGCTATGAGTCCCATGTAATAGGGGTGAGCCTATTGCCATATACCGGGCACAATTCCAGAATCCGTGTTAATACTG